ACCTGTTCTGAATACAGACCATACATATAATGCATAGGGAAGGGCTTTAATGTATGTGAAAAGGCGGAGTAACAAAGATAAGAGAATAGAAAAAGCAGAGAGAGGGAGAAAAGGCTAGTTGCCTGGTGACGGAGGCAGAAGGAGAGAAAGGAGAGAGAAGGTGAAGAAGGGAGAAAAAAACGAGGAGGAGGAGGAGAGGTGTGGAGTTGTTTTCCAAGTGCAAAGAGTTACTGGTCACGATGCTACATCTGCTGCTGCCATCCCTCCCACTGCGCTCTCTTTGGCTCTCCCAGAGGATGAAGATGATGTATTGGCTCTCAGTTTTTACATGTTGTGTCTTACTGAGTGATTTATGGTTTTAATTGTTGTAATGAGGGTGTGTTTTTTGGCTGCCCAAATCAGATTTTTTTGGCATTTTCTGCAGTCAGTCTGACTGCAGTCAGATAGCTTTTGTAAAGGCTGGCTCAGAATTGGGCATTAAAGCTCCACTGATTTATTTTTCTATTTTAAGAAAAAATTTAATTACTGCATGTAATTTGATAGTGTTTGCTGTTTTTAATAAAGCCACAGCGAATTCCCACCAACACTGCAGCTCTTTAACCTCTTTTAGCAGAGTTTTGCTTTTTTTTGGTAGTTAACCCTTAGGAGTTCCTTTAAAAAACTTACACATTTGTTCCTATGGCAGAAAAATGCCACCTTCGGCAAAAACTGCTTTTTAAAATCTTATAAATCAATATTTTTCTCTACTTTAAATGAGTCAATCTTTTTAGAACTATCCAGCTTGAAAATATACATATCAAATATGTATCCATATTTTGGGTATTTTAACCCTTTAAAGGCCAATATGTTTACACAACTCCGCTGTTGTGGAAAGTCTCAGTTTGTTTGAGACCAGTTATTTTTCCATTTTTTGAAGTCCATTTTGCTGCTGCTTCATCAATTTCATCTTCAGATGAGTCTTCAGATGAGTCAGGGCTAGACACCAGCAATTCCCCGCTCCGGTAAATAGAGCCCCATCCTGGGAACTCGACCCTTGTATCCATCGGATAAACTATTCCAGGTATGTTTCTCCTGGATACTTTGCGAGGCAGACTAGCCAGGCG